ATCACATTCAAAATAAGAAATAATTGGGGGGGAAAAACCCTAACATAACAAAATTCTGCAAAAAATCTGGGGAACCTACTGGCATGGGTTGCGTCCTCTCCGTGCAATGCAGGTCGGTTCAAATGGATGGATCGAATGAATGAATGGATGGAAAGAATCGCCCATGGTCTTTCTAGATTACGGAGTAAAAATAATTGGGCGAACTTCTAAATAGGGGTAAAATGGTATGAAAATAACAAAATAGTACTCCCTAGCGCCATCTGCCGCCGTGATGAACCAGAGCATCGTCGGTATTCGTCGCTCGTCGCCATCCGCCGCCGTGGGTCACACTGGCAGGGCCGGTCCTATCACATATGAGGCCTTGGGCGGTATGGTTATTTTGGGCAGAATACGAATCTTGTTACTATAATAAATCTAACAAAAATTTAAATACTCCATTTTAATCTTCTCGTTACCATTACATTGCATTTCAATGTCATGAGATCATTCAAATGCGATACGGTACTCTGTTCATAATTTTAATTGTAACAAAGTATTTTGTATTCTATCTGTCTAAAACTAAATTGTTGTTTCTTACGGAGTATTTATATGACCAAATTTCATTCATCTTCTTTTTTCAGTTATTAATTTAATAAAATGATACTGTATAATTATGTCACCTAGAACTTTTGATGTAATTTTTTATTTTTTTAAACTTTGCTCCAATTCTCACATAAATTATATGGAGTATTTAAAATAATTTCAATCAAAATCATAAATCGAAACATGCAATTTATATTGAGACGGGGAAATATACATTTATAAAAAATTCATATTTGAGCGAGAAGAAGAAGTAATTTATTTTTTTTGTATGGAGATTAAAAAACTCATTTTTTAGAGTCACCATTCTAAAAATTAATGTAATTATTAGATTGTACAAGTAAGATTGACGCGTCCCTCATGTCATCGTATGACATTAGTCCTCATGTCATCTTATGACATGAACATCGATTGTAGCACCTATGATGTTCCGTTTAGAAAATTGATAGTTTTAATCTTTCTAATTTCTCACTCCCTCCAATTGCACACACAAAATTTAGTTGACTTTGGAGTCAACAAGTCTCTCATGTCATTGTATGAGATCGGCCTCGATTGTAGCACCTACAGTGTTCCGTTTAAAAAATTGATAGTCTCAACCTCTCTAATTCTCTATTTTTTGCCAATTACATCTACAAATTTTAGTTAACTTTTGAGTTAATAATGTTAACTTCAAAATCAACTAAATTTTATGAATGCAATTAGAGGGGATGAAGGTTGGTTCGTGATATTAGATTATAAACAACAGTGGATTGAGACCATCATTTTTTTAAAATGAAGAATCGTATATACCCAGGCCATTTCATGCACCTCCATGTGTATGGTTTTCTCTTCAAAAGTAAGAGAAAAGTATTTAATGCTTTTTTCAATCTTTTTCTTTCCTCTCCCCATTTTCAATGACAAACAAACAAGAGAAAATATATAGGTGCAGGATAGGTGCAGGATGAGTGTCCTCTCTTCATTTTCTTTCCTTCCAAAATCTCTCCATCCAAACGGAGGTAGGAAGGTGCAGGATGAGTATTGCCGTAAACATTTCAAAGAACATAAGATAGATCTATTTATATCTTCCTACTAAAAGAAAGATAGGAGAAAGTGGCGAGATCTGAGTCCAAATTGCTTGAAATCCTCGCAGCATCTATAAAACTAAGCGGCTGAAGGGGACGGAGAAGGGGAAGAACACTAGCTCCAAACGTCGCCGCAACAGCGTCACAGGATCAGCAGTCAGAAAGCAACAAAGCAGAATCTGCGAACCTCCAAGAGGTATAACTCTGAAACTTCTTTGATTTGCTTTTTTTGTTGTTAGATCTTTGTTTACCATTTCTGTTAATCTTCTCTTTTGATTTCATTCTCTGCATTTTGATGGCAAACAAGTTGAAGAATGTCCCGTGTTGCTTTATTTCGATCTCAATCATGAGTGAATAAACTTTTTGTCTTTGTTTAATACAGAGTACCCCTTTATGGATATTTAGTAAATTGTTTTGCAAAGGAAACTGATTTGATCTTATTCGGTGATTGAAAATAATAATAATAATGATGATGATGATGATGTTGATAAGGTTTGATTGCGAGCGGAGTTTGATTGCAAGTCAGGTTTGAGTGTGAGTCGGGTTATGATTGGGAGTCGGATTTGATTGAGAGTCGACTTTGATTGGGAGTCGGCTTTGATTGAAAGTCGCATTTCATTGGGAGTCGGGTTTGATTGGGAGCCAGGTTTGACTCGGAGTCTAGTTTGATACTTTGATTGCGAGTCGGGTTGATTGCAGGCTAACTACCCGAAACTACAATTTTACATCGTTGTCGCAAGTTTCGTGGGTATGTTCAATTTATATTTCTATTTGTTCTTTTTGTACCTTTATTGATTGTTGGATTTAGACTTTTGTTCCTTGTGAAGCCTATCTTGGTATCTCCACCTACTAGATATACACCACATGGAAGTACCATAGGGATATCCTTGTGAAGTTTCAGCGAAGGTGGCTGGTACTTTCCTGTATTGTATATCTCGTAGGTGGAGACACCAAGATAGGCTTCACAGGGAACAAAAGTCAAAATCCGACAGTCACTAAGTGTACAAAAAGAACAAATAGAAATATAAATTGAACATACTTACAAAATTTGACACCAACAATGTAAAATTGTCGTTTCAAGTAGTTAACTTGCAATCAAACCCGACTCGCAATCAAACTCCACTTGCAATCAAACTCCAGTCGCAATCAAACTCGACTCACAATCAAACTCCATTCACAACCAAACCCGACTCGTAATCAAACCCGACTCACAATCAAACTCCACTCGCAATTAGACTCACAATCATATATACATGCATCTATGTTTGCCTTTTGACTGCCTGCCTTCTCGCCTAAAAAAGGTCCTCTTGTTCGCCTCTCTCCTTTAATAACTATGGATTAGGGTAACAATAATCAATTTTACCAACAAAGCACCGTAAGGGATAATCAATTTTACAATGGAGTAGATTTTGACCCCATGGGTCAAAAGATCCAAAGCGATAATAATATTTTTTGAGTGACTCTATTATACGTAATGTAGTGTTTGTCTTCGCTGAGAATCAAACCTAGGCAAATTTTCCCATAAATCTTGGGGTGTGGACTTCTTCCCACTCAAGCCAAAAGAGAAGTTCTATAGTAATAGAGTAAGAATAATAATAATATTGAAAAATATTAAAAGGAAAATACAAGTACACCATATATTGTAAAATACCAGTAAATTACATAAATAAATATTTGGCATACAGTGTAGTTAACTTCCCAAGATTTGGTTCCTGATAATCAAATTTAAACTTGGGAGAACTCTCTAAATAGGATCAAAAGATAATTAAAACATCAAAATATGAGCATCACTCCACTTGTTACATAAATGGGAGCTATTCCACTCTGCCACTTCTGACTGCCACTGGAGCTCCCCCACCACCATCATTGACCAGTGGTCACCAGTCCACTACACTCTCCCATTACACTGCCAAACTCTTATATAAGAGATAAAAATAATGGCATTTCTATTTTATTATTTTGACGTTTTACTCCTATCTTGGGACAATACTTTTTAAACTTTTGTATCATGGTTCCGACCCACATGATATTGGTTCTCGTTAGGTTTAGGATGAAAAAAAAGCATATTTAGAAACACGACAAATAGTTTGGTACCATTACTTTATTTATTAGTAAAATAACTTTAATACTCAATCATCATAAATGAGAAGCAAGTTTACATAGATCAGCCTTAGCCAGCTGCAACAACTCTTTAGTAGGTCCAGACAAAAAAATTGATCGATCGTTAGGTTCAAACCAAACCTGGACCAAATGGATTTTCGATCAGTCTTTGGTCCAAAAAATTTAGGTGTTTGAGCTTCTGGTCCGGTTCAAACCTGAAATGATTTGAGTCCAGACCAATTCTACTGAATGGACCTAATAACCCTATTGCACCTAAAAGACCTAAGTACTAAACTCTACTTTTTACGTTCTGTACTACACTTTGATGCTCTATTTTAATAGATTTTTAATACATTTAATTAAAGATATTTTTTATTAAGTAATTTTAAAAAAATAAAAAAATGTTTCAAATTAGTTTTTTTGATTCTACACAGAAGCAGTTCATGTTGTGTATCTATTTGTAGGTTGTCTATTTTTTATTTTTTTTCTTTTTGCAAGGTACAAAATAAAAAGCTTAAAATATGTTTGATTGATAAAAATGATCAAAAAAATATACTACTTCTGTCCCAGTGTTTTGTCCAGTTTAACTTTTTTTGAGTCAAACCGGACAAACTTCGAACTTCAAATATATCAACTTGTGTTTAATATTAGTACAATAAAATAAAATTTTAAAACTTCTCAACAAGATTTATCTAATAAAATCATTTTTATACTAATATACATAACCATTTTTGTTTAATTGAAGCTCAAAGTTAATCTTGTTTGATTCAAAAAAGTCAAACTGGACTAACACAGTGGGACGGAGAGAGTATATATTTATTCGGTCCAATAGGTTCGGACCGGTTCGTCTTAAGTATTTTGTTCCGGTCTTCGGTCTGTGATTTTATTAAATTCAGTTTTGGGTTTGGTCCGGCTCGGTCCGGTCTTGGACCGATGAACAACCTTATTTCTTAGGAACTTCCTTTAGCAAAACTCTAGATTCTAAACCAAAAGTATGTGAATTCACAAAACTATGGACTACTTTGTTCCCACATGTTCTAATATGCATAAAAACACAACACCACAAGTTATTACACTCATTTAATATGTCGTCCACCACATAGCCTAAGAGAGACCCCGACCTTTCTCTTTCCGGGAGGTTTCGCTTAGATACAAGCATCCCCCCGCCATGGTGAGTTTTGAGTCTTTTGACCCCCCCCTAATTTCTATGTTATTTGGATCCGTAGCAAGCACTCATCAGCTTCCTCAATCTTCACCCCCTTGTATCCAATATTTTTCTTATATCCATATGTGATATAAACATGGGCATCAAAGCTATTTGATTTCTTTCCTAGGATTTATTATTCACACTGAAAATTTGAATTATGTATTGTTGGGGTATCTATGAATACTGAATAGCCTCCACACTCAATTCGCCCAACAATCTCCCACTTGGAGGCTCGAACAACGCCCCTTAGTCTTCATCATCTGTAACTCTTGTAATCCTCATTTTCCACTACTTGCAGCGGCCTTCTCTTCAGTTATCTGAAGGCCCGTTGAAGCTCCCACTGAGCTTCAACTCATCAGTCACAACCCGTGACTCGTTCTCTTTCTCTGCTAGCTCCGAGTGTGACACATCTATCACTCTCCTAGCTTCTAAGACAAACTGAGAACCTACATTCTCCAAACCAAGCAAATTGTTAACAGGAGAAACATTCAACGCCGGAATACTAGTTTTCCTAACCCACTGTCGGATTGGGACTGAAGCACGACCTGTGCTCCCACTGTCACAAAATTCCCTGACTGGTTGAACCTTCCGAGCTAGTTCATCTTGAATCTGTACTCTTTCTCTGAGTTTTTCCTTTGCAAAGGTAACCCTCTTTAGCACACGAGATTCTTTGAACCGGACCTTTTCTTTTACAAAAACTGGACTTGCTCCTTCTGGAGGTATCTCGACCATATATAACGAGCCCCTTTTCTTGCCACGAGCAACAACAAGATTTCCTTTGACCACCTTCCACTGTCCACCACCAAATTTAACATCAAGACCCGAATCATCCAACTGCCCAACTGAGATAAGCATCCTCTTCAAGCTTGGAATGACTCTGACGTTTTTCAAAGTCCAAGTGGCTCCAACTGAAGTTTTCAAGTCAATATCCCCCATGCCCGTAACATCCAGAATTTCATCGTTACCAAGTCGTACCTTACCAAAGTCCCCAATCTTCAGATTCTTCATCATCTTCATG